CGGCCCGGGGCGGGCTCCCGGGCCCGGCCGCCGCAGTGCCCGGCGCGTGGACAGCGATCAGCATGGACAGCGCTCCGGGCCGTGTTCGGGAGAGCTCTCCACGGCGCCGCCCGAACGCGGGCCTGCGGCGCGGAAAAACCGTATCGGGGCACCCGAGCGACACGCACACGCCAACCTAACGCGCGCTAACATGGACACTGGGCCAGTGCCACCCCCGGGGACGCCATCCCAGCGGGGGGGGGTGGGGGGGGAGACCGCCCCGCCTCCCGAGCTCGCCTGATCGGACCCACCCCCATCGCGGCACAGGTGCCCGCGGGCCTCTCCAGCTGGGCCGGTCCCATGCCTCCGGCCACACTCCTCAGCTTCCAGGGGACCGGGCACTCCGGAGGAAGAGGAGGACGAGGCGAGCAGCGCCCCGGTCCTTGCGCACTACGGGTTCCCAAGACCGAACCCATGTGACGCGGCCACGCCCCAAGGCCCCTGCGGGGCCCTCTGCTGCCCAATCCCCGGATCCCTGGTTCTCATGGCAACCCCGAAGAACCCCTTGCTCCCTCCATTCCCTCCTCCCCTTCCCCCACACACACTGGCCACTCTCATGACGCCGAAAGTCCTCCATAGCTACCCGTTACACAACATACGAAGCACGGGGCTGGGGGCACATCTCAGGCCCACCACAAGTCATACATGCCAGCCGCATGACGACCGTCGGGGGTGGGGTATGCCCGTGTGACAGTCAGGGCCAGGTGGTTCTGGTTTTCAGGATCACTATTGTCTCCCACCCCTCTCCAAAATGTCAGAGCAAGTACCAGCAAGGGAGAAGCTCTTTCTGGAAGCCACAGGCACTACGCTGTTGGGCGTCCACGAGAAAGTAGGGTTCCATTTAGACTGAGAGTTAGCAGGAAAATAACAGATCTGATATACCCAGCATCTGCTATGTGTGCGCCACTTTATACACACACACAAACACACACACACACAATTCGGTAACAAAGGAAGCTAAAAGGTTTGGGGGTTATTATTTCTGACTTTAACAAGGTCAGAGAGCTAGTAAGCAGTACATCTCACATTCCCCTCTAGTGGGAACATGGTGGGAAAAGGTAGACACTGCAGATGGAAGTAAGTACATTAACAGTCAACAGTGGGCAGTGGATACTATACCGCATTCACATCTACAAAGGGGCAGGGAACCGGGAAAATCCCGTCCAGGCACTGTGTTCAGAAGAGCAGAAAAGCTGCCCAAGTCTAGCGTGCTCTGAGGCCAGCTCAGGTCCCCCAGTTGCACCGGAGGAAGAGACTGGAGAAACCACAGATATTCACCTTGGAGTGGAGGGGCTCCAAGGTGGTCAGGACCACAAAATTCCAATATTTTAAAGTCAATCAAATGAAACAGAGTTGAGGCAGATTCTGAGAGCAGCCACCAGTGGAGTGTTCAAACCAAAACAGAGGGCAACAAGCCTTTCTCGCAGTCTGGGCCAACCACAAATAACCTTGTGTACCTTCGGGGGACCCAGTATTCTCCATCACCAAAGGTGTTAAAGCCTTTAACTTTAACTAGGCACGTCCTCAGTGGAGATGTTGAAGAGTGAACATCAAAAGACACAGAATGGGAGATGGAAACACAGAATCCCACCCTGAGATTCTAGAAAAAATCAAAGAGCAGAGAAATCAGGTAGCTTGCCCAAGGTCCACTGCAAGTTAATGGCAGGGAGAACCCGGTATTCCCTCCAGACTTGAGACTTTTCTGTGGTTCAGACATGGTGATTCCACTCACCACGGCAGTCAACCCTGCAAAAGTCGCTCAGGTGTTCCTTGGCCTCCCTGCCTAGCTACTCCCAGCCTGGATGAACTCCTTTGCTGAACATCACACCCGGCCGTCTCTGGGCCTGAACAACAGGTTGCATAGGACAGAGGGCTTTCCCGCCACACTTACCCCCATTAAAATACGCCAGGGGTCCCAGCTCAAGTCGGCTATTCCTGGATGTGGGAAAAGCAAGGGGGGAAGGGTGTAATAACAAGCAAGGAACCCAGAAAATCCAAGCCTATGCCCAATGGCTGACTGAGCAACACTTTGCTCTGCTAGAACAACAGAAAGAGAATCTTCCAGAAGGCATAAAAGCCAGTGGACAAGGGGTAACTGACTCTGAAAATGTGAAAGTGCTTAAGACTAAGCCAGAAAACGGAGATGAAGCCTGATACTCAGTAGAAGTCCAGAAAGTCTCCAGAATTAGAACCACCACCATTTACCTCTAAAATGGAGGAAAGGTGGGGTCCCAGAAGATTAAGTGGAAGTCTAAGGAATGGCTTGGCCCCTCTCCCTGACTCCAGGAGCCAGGCGAATGCTTGGGCTTTTTCTGGAAGCAGGGAGACAGGTCTAAACCAGAGTCAGCAGACACAGCCAAGCCTTTGGTCCCAGACTGAGAACAGGTGGGTCAAGTGCAGGCTGCGGTATGAATCATGCGGACATCTCCAGCGGCTGCCAGAGCCCCGCCTCAGAGGGATTAAGAGGCTTCTTCAGAGCTGAGGAGAAGACCTGAAGGCACGGACATCAGGAGTGCCCCATGCCAACAGGGCAACTGGGCATCCATGGAGGCCCACAGTCAAGACACCCACTCACACCAGGCTGCAGTTGTCTTCTGAAAATGGACTAATAGAAAAGGGCCCAGACATCTAAGGAAAGCCTTGAACATTAAAGATGAGGCCAAATGGCCTGGGACAGAGATTTCCCATGCACAGCCTGCACACTGTCAGCCTCACCTCTCTGGGCCCTGTCCACAGTTCTGTTCAGCTGCCCTGATGTGGCCCTATGCCCTGCTGCAGAGCCTCCTCCTACCCGGGCTCCACAGTGCCCTGCAGCTTGCACAGGAGGTGGCTTCGCACCCAGCACCTGCAGGGATGCCACAGAGCAACACTGCGCCCCAGCCCAGGCGACAGGCACTGATGGCAGATGCATCCTCCTCCCCTCCCCCCTCCCCAGGACCATCCTGAGGATCAAGAGTTCCTGACACAAGTCAGCCCCTCATAAAGAGCCGTCACCTCCCCTAGTTCCAGGCATGGTTTCACCAGGCTCCCTCCTTCATGCCTTCCCCCCAGGCTTGCACACCCTCCTACCACAGAGGCACACAGCTTTTTGCCATAGGCTCTGCTTTTCGGGTAAGCCAAGCACAAACAAGCAGAAAATTAAAAAGTAAGTAAAAAATTTAAAAATTAGAGAGAAGAAATATGTAGAAAAAGTTAAAAACAAACAAAAAAAGATATCACATCTATATGAAACAAGAATATTAAAAAAAGAATACTGGTTTTGGGTGTCAATAACATGTTCACATAGATTCATCAACTGTAACAAATGTACCACTCTGGTGCAGGATTCCAACTAGTCGGGGGAGGCTTGTGTGGGTGGGGGTAGTGAGTAAATTAGAAATCTCTGAACTTTTCATTCAGTTTTTCTATCCACCTAACACTGCTCTAAAGTATATTTTAAGAAATGAATAATCAAAAAAGAAATAGAAGTCCTTAGAAATTAAAAATGAAAATAGAAACTTAAAATCCAATAGAAAGATTAAAAAGTCCAATTGAGGATATTCTCAAAAACTAAATCCACAAAACAGATATAGAATAGGAAATAGAAAATAATGACAGAACCAATTCAGGAGGCTAACAACCAAATAACAGCCATTCTAGAAAGAGAGAAGAGGAAAATGGAAGAAATTAAAGAATTACTTCAAAAACATCTCTGAGACCTGAAAGATTTGTATTTTCTGTTTGCAGGGGCCCTGGACATACCCCACAAGAAACATCTTCAAGGAACTTCAGAACAAAGACACAACGAGAAGCTCCCAGAAGCTTCCGGCCATGACAGAAAGAAAAACAAAAAAACAAACTAAAAAAACCCCCACTTTGGGTACTCTTGCATACAAAGAATCAGATGAGCTTGAAGAGAAGCTCCCAGAAGCTTCCGGCCATGACAGAAAGAAAAACAAAAAAACAAACTAAAAAAAACCCCACTTTGGGTACTCTTGCATACAAAGAATCAGATGAGCTTGAATCTAACCTCATTCTGCCTAAAGACAATGCCAGCCTTCAAATTTTTGAAGGAGAACTATCTCCAATTTAGAAATCTACTCAAACTATTAACCATGAGGGCAGAATAGGACATTTTCAGACAAGCAAGTTCTCAGAACTTTTATATCCTATGCCCCTCTTTTTTTTGGAAGCTACTGTAGAATATTCTCCATCAAATTTTGTAATAAACCAAAAAATATGAAGTCATGAGATCCAAGAGTCAGGCAAAGGGCATTCCCAGGACTACACTGAAGGAAGATTCCAGGACAGCTGAGCAGGGAGGAGCCTCAAGGGCATGTGAGAGATTGCTTCCAAAAGGCAAAACTGGCAGATTACCAAATGCTTCTGAAAGGAGAGTCACACAACTGTGTAAGCATGGAGGGGGTAAAGCGATAAGTACATAAAAAATAAAAATAAAAAACTAGGCAACAACAACTCCAGGAGAAAACAAAATGACCCAAGAGACAATCAAAGTTATTGCAGAATGCTACATAGCTTGGCCATATGCAGCATCTAGGGGACCACCCCAAAACTACCTACTGATCTGGCCAAATTTACCAGAAGACAGAGGAGTGAGGGTAGGTCGGGGTGGGACAACCGAATGAAATCCTTCCCTTCCCACGGAGGGAAGTCAAAGTAACAAATGAGAACCTGGGCTCTGGGAGGGTGCACGTAGAAGGGAGGGTAAGTTGTCAGGAACTGCAATATATTATGTAGAAATATGGAGGTAAATTCAGAAAAAAATCCACTGATAAACCAGGTTACTTCTGGGGAATTATTTGACTCTTTAAATTATGTCCATGCATTACTCTGATGAAAAAAATCAAACTAAATTTACTAACAGTCTGCCCTGTGTGTTGAGGAATCAGAAAGCCAGATGATCCTTCCTATGAACAGAACAGAGACACTTGAGTGCTGGGGACAGCCAGGACAGCAGGGGGACAGTGCCCTGTTTGTGAAGAGAGGGCTGTGACAGAGGTGGCCTGTGTCCACTCCCAGCCCTGCAGGCCCCACAGTGGGGAGAAGGGCCAAGCAAGGCCTGTGGCTGGGGGATGACCCAACAAGGAAGCAAGGAGCCCCTCTCCTCACCTTTCCCTCCCCCGAGGCTCCATCACCACTAGGGAGTCACAAGTATCTCTAGAAACATGGGGGGGGCGTCTTCAGAAGACAGCAGGCAGCACCCTAGAAAAGGCAACCTGGGGGCCCTCAGGTAACACACCCACAGCCTGTGCTGGGCCCGAGAGGAAAGGCGGGCCAGAGCGGTCGCTGACTGAAACCAGCCCATGCAGGACAATTAGAGGGC